TACATTATTTAGTGTATTTATATACACTACGATAGCTTTGACTGAAGGTCATTTCCTAGAAACAGATTGTACTAGCTTACTTCTACTATACATCAGTGTCGGGGCAAGGAGTGTCATATTAACAAGAGCAGATAAAGAATCTCCCTCCTCCTCCTCTCTCCTCTCTCTCTTCTCTCCTTCTTTATCTGCTCTTGATATTAATTTACACTCAACATACAGACTAGCTGTAAAGTCAGCCCTGGCCATTGTTCATTTTACTACTATATAACTATTTATCTATTGCTGTATACTTTTTTCTTTATATTACAACGTAACTATTCCTTTTATTGCCACACGCGTAGTTGTTCGCATTCCTTCAGTAGCCTGCTGTGACGTGAAGGACTACGCGAGTGAGAAATATATATATATATATTTATTTATTTATTTATTTATTTATTTATTTATTATATTTATTATATTTTAATATATTTATTATTAGCAGCAATTCTTGGTATCGGGAAGAGAAAACTATAGCTTACACGGGAGAATGTTGGAGTAACGGTTTTTCTTGCGATTGTGTTTCAGCTTGCTCACTTCACACGTCAGAGTCGAATATTGCTCTTGACTCTCATCCTGTAACTTCTGCAGCAAAAAAAACGGGCTATCAAACCAGAATTCGATAGTAGATTTTAATAAATGCCAACAACGGTAAACTCTGGCTGTTGAAAGAACTAAACTATATAACTAGAAGTAAAAGTAATTAATAACTGTGTATGTGTATATAGAGCACATACCTTATATTCTGATGAATACTGATCACCATTAGACTCGTCATCTGATAGAATAGAAGATTCCAACTCCTCAAAACGCTGTTGAAAATCTTCCAATACTTCTCTGACGTTCATTTCTCTCTCAGTCAGCCGACAGACTATTGACACTCTATGTTGGTTTACACTTCGCTCTCTCAGACGGGATAGTGAGTGAGTGAGTATTATATCCTCTGCACACGCGATCGCACTGCAGCCTAGCGTACGATACTACGTTCGGCTGCAGTAAGTTTTTCAATTTGTTTCTTTCCGCGAGATGGCAGCACGTTGTTGTAATCCAACAGGTGGCTCTGGTTGATTCATGAGCGAGGTGTTATTCATTATTAGAATTTAGAACATACAGTCGCAGTGTCGGAGCATCGTGTGTTAGGAGATGCGAGGATTAGAGACGAATTTAGTGAATATCTTCAAGATATCGGCTGTGGTCTTCCAATCTATCTGTTTTGATTTCTTCCTCTCCGCCTGCAAGCATGCGGTAGAGACATATAGAGTCTCCGGAGAAGAGAAAGAGGAGGAGAGAGGGAGTGAGAGGGAGCGAGACATCGCGGCTCGCTGCGTACGCCTGGAAGGTAAGCTAAACTTTATTAGTACCAGCAGCGGCTCGCTACACCTGCTGGCAGTGGCGCTGGTTACTATGGTAACTATAATATAATAAGAATAATATTAATAAATAATAATCCCATCGTTCGTCGCCATGCAGAGTGTAGACTGACTATATACTTCCTGACTAAACCACACAATAAAATCAACAAAACTCGCAAACAATAAAATCGGTTCCAACCACCATGCATGCTGCGTGTGTTTCTGTTCTACTTTCTGTTTATATGTTCGTGGAACGGTTGGTTTACATTAGCTGACCTCAGGGTTAAACACTACAGATAGACTACTCTATAGATAGATGGATAGATAAATAGATAGATAGATAGATAGATAGATAGATAGAATAGCCATAGCAGAGTAGTGTTATCTTATTGTTATTTCTATTGTTGTAATATTGCTGCAAATGATAGAACGTTTCAATAGTAAAATGATGGTAATAAACACGAAATGTATTTACTACCAAAGTCTTAATAAGTCGAATGAATAAAGAACAAACAAACAAAAAACTTAAGACTTTGGTAGTAAATACATTTCGTGTTTATTTACCACAATATTTTGTTGTTGAGACGTTCCAAGTGCCTGTGATGGTGAGGGTTGTATTTCAACATCGCAACCCTCAGAGCGGGTGTGTGCGTGCAGCCAGGCGCGCACTTGAACGTACTCAGATAAAAAAAACTGATGCGGATAAACACAAAACTGTATTGACTAGCCAAAGTCTTAATGGTTTCATTACTCTCTTTTTCGCCATAATATTGCGATAACTCTCCTGTCACAATGCCGCGTTCAAAGTTCTCTGCCAACACACAAGTACATGTACATTGTTGTCCGCTATGCACAAACAACAAGAATTATAAGCACTCTTGTGCTGCTTCCATAATAATATCAAGAGTGAATAATAATAGATCTATAAATTCATAATTCACTATTAATATTATGAATTAAAATAAAAATTCACATAACTTCTATTCTATTATTCACTCCTGACTAAAATGAGGGTTAGGCGTTTTGTAGCCGCCTACTTAGGACTCCGTGCGGTTGGATTGTGTAGCGGAGCATTTGAACAGCATTTTACGTGGGAATTATT